TCCAAATCTATTCATATCTATTCTCTTCAAGTAGAAAGCAAAAGCGATAAACAATTTTGTTTCTTATAGTTGCATGGCATTCCCTTGTGTTTGTACCACAAATTATTGATTCATTCATGTACAGTTGGTTATTTGGGTTGGTTCTACATCCTGGACTATTGCACTAAATACGTTCATGAACAAGGGTGTGCAAATATTCTTTTTAAATAATGTTTTTGTGTTTGGTGAGTAGAAGCCAGAGTTTTATTCTTACTCTTTGAGAAATATCCATACTGCTTTCCACTGTGATTGAACCAGCTGATACTACACCACCATGAACTCGGTTCCTTTCTCACCATATACCCTCCAACACTGTTTCCAGTCTCTTGGATATTTGCCATTCTCACTGGTGGGAAATGATACTTGGTGTTTTAATTTGCATTTTCCCTAATAAGATTGCTAAACTGTAACTGGCAATCTAAAAAGAATGGTGGTGGAGGGGAGGATGGTAGATTGGACTGGAGGTGACAGGGATGGAGGGTCATGGGCAGTGATGGTGGTGTGCGGTTAACTTACACATCAATACTACAAACTTGAGGACTATTGTAACCCTACTATCAAAACTACAATAAATTAAAGAAATAAAGTAGAATAAAAATAGAAATTGACATATCCGTGTATCAGCACCACGGCCTACCAGTTACAATGATGGCACCTACTCCAGGTCTTGCTTAAAGGTGGGGACTACAGATATCCCAGGGTGTTTCCCTGTTATTTCTTTTCTCTCCTAATGAAAATTTGAATTATGATCAATACTGTTCCCTTCTATTCTTTCATTACTTAAAAAATTATAGAACTAGGAATGAAAACTCTAGTACTGCTATGCTAATATTTTCTATCCCTATATTTATAGCAAGAGGCACAGTTTGAATGCAGATGATGATTTTTAATTTAGTAAGATTACAAATTCTTTGACAAACAGGGGCAAAGATGCACCATTCAAATGATAATTTTAGGAATGCTCCAGATGTTATAGATGATATAGCAATGTAAGTCTGTACAGTATGGAATTCACAGTTTAGTTTTTATTTTTGATCCTAAAAATAGAACTTTTGCATTACTTTGTATTATGTGCAGAAAAGACAGAAACTTTCCTCAATTTTACTATTAACATATCTGATTCTGTATTTCAAATTGTGCTTTAAATTGAATTCAGTTTTCTCACATTTCCTACAAATGTAATTTTTGTGTCCCTTTTACATGGTATCAAGACCTACTGAGATATAATGAAATATTTGGGCCCATATCTTCCCCTGTGTTCTTCCTGGAAGAGTGATTTTGTTGCAATTGTTATGTGGCTACACATATCAATTAATAAAAATATCGCCATATATAAGTCTGTATCTTTTTGTGTCTGTTTTGGAATTTTTAAAGAAAAATCTACTTTTACATAGAAAAAATCATCTTAAATAATTTTCCCTGAATATCCATATAAGTGAGAGAATGATATATAAACAAAAAGTTTCCCCCAATCAATTACCTAGTACATTGAATTATGGCTACCTAAACACACATTTTAATTTTAATGTAAAAAGATTGGTACTTATTTCAGTTAATAAATATTTCATCAGTCATGTAAATGATCTATTACAAAAAATTCAGCTTCATCAATTTAAAAAATACAATAATTTGACACAATTCAAAATGAAATCTCTATTATCTTCTTTTCAGATCACATACATACAGAGCATTTTCTCAATATAACTTCTTTAAACCTCGCAATTTAGGTGGGTGCTGATGAATAACAAGCAATTTGTCAGAGGCAATAGTGCCATTTTTGAAAGAAGCCATTTTACACTACATGAAAATTACAGTTCTGCAATATCTACTTGACATGAATTTGCTCCTTATTTAAAGGACTACAATTTGCTTTCTATTTTGGATAGAACAAAGTTAACAGGCATTTAATAGACTCAGTAAGCTTGGAGAACTGACATCGATGAGAAGGAGAGGATTAAAAACATACGTGGAAGGTCAAAAGTCTATGTGGAATGTATGTATCAGGTCATACAAACCAGGAAAGAAGTAACCAGGTGTACAGAGCCATCTGACCTCGACAGATATAGTGGGTGTTTAGATGAAATAATTTAAGATGTATTGGGCAAAAAAGTTAGTAATAACTAGATTACCGAACATTTGAAGTAGAAATATGCCCCTAGTTCAAAGCTATCCCACAGTTAACAATATTCACTTAGAACTCACCAAGAAACAAAAATAAACATAAACCAAATATAATATTAAAAGTATATTGTCTTTTTCCTTTGGTTTGAGGGGACCCACAGGCAGTACTCAGACATATCTCTTGGATGTGCTCAGGGGTAACTCTGGGCAGTGCTTGGGGGAGCATAAAAGGTGCTGATATGTGGTGGGGGGTGAACTGTATGCAAGGTAAGTTCCTAAACCCCTGTGCTATTTTTTCAGTTATAATAGGTATATCATTCTTAACTGGAGTCTATGAAAATAGAATTGGGAAAGAATCTCAATAACTGGCGTTATAATATTCATTGTGCTATGGAATTTGAAGGTATATTTCAGCAAAAGAATCCATTCTCTGCCTGATAAGTATCCAGTCAACTGGACCAGCCCAGGAACCCAAAGGCTCTCATTTTGTCTACATTCTCAATCATACAAATAAATATATAAAGGATCACTAGTTGTAAAAAAAAATCACAAATTCCTTGGAAGGTGTGGCTTAGACTGAACAAGTCATGAACCCATTTCCTGTTACCACCACTTCCATTTAAAAGTGATTTGGAGTTGTGAGTGGAATTTGAATTTGTAAGAAATGGAGAGGAAACAAAAACGTATCTGGTGATATGATTGTGCACATAAAATTCCCAAAGAACCTAAAATTGATTACTATTAAAGAGTAAATGTAGGGGCTTGAGAGATAGTATATCAGGTAGGGTGCTTTCCTTGCAAGGTGACCAACTCAAGTTCGATCCCTGGCACCTCAAATGGTCCTCCAAGAACAGCCAGGAATGATCTTGGAGCATAAAGTCAGGAGTAAGCCTTAACAACAGTCGGTCATGACACAAGAACCAAAACCAAAATACATAAATTTAGCAAGGATACTAAGCATATATTTAAAATAAACTCAACTAAATTGTATCTTTATATCCCAACAGTAAAGAAAAATGATTTAAACAATTTTTATAGGACCAAAACATCAAGTATCTGACATTAAATACAATATAAGCAGTCTTCTAGACTTAAAACTAAAAAATATTATTAAAAAGCATTATCAAAACCTTAATAAATGGAGGAATGCAGCAAGTTCACAAATAAGAGAACTGAATATTATAAAAGGCATTAGTTGATTTACAAAAATAGCAGTTATAATCAGTACCCTGACAGGCTTTAGTAAAAATTAATAAGCTTGCTCTAAAATATATCTGGTAAACTACTAAAAGAACGAAAGACAGCCAAGGCATTCTTGACTAAGATAAAGTTGGAAAATTTACACGAGTTTCCCATGTTTTTTATAAAACAAGCTGTGTCTCCACACATATACAGATGCACAATTGTAGTATTATTCATTCCTAAAAAGGGCTGAATTTCTGATATCACTACACACAGATGCCTTAAAAACATGTTAAGTATAATAGCTAGACATGAACGCACAAATACAATATGATCCCACTTAGATAGCATGTATAGAATAGGAAAATTCAGTGACACAGAAGAGACATGGTCATTTTGTGTACAGAGTGCTACAAAAAGCACTGGATAGGAGTTATAGCTTAATAGAATCTATTTGGACTGGTGATAAAACTTTAGAAATATGAAAGCAATGACTGCACACTGTAAACATGATTAAAAACTATGCCTTTAAAGTTGTTAAAATGATAAATTTTATGCTCTACATATAAATCCCAGTAACAAAAACAAACCCAAATTACTGAATTGTACACTTTAAACTTGGTGAACTGTATTATAGCTAAATAAAGCTGTCAAAAATGATCAGTACAGGGCAGTGTAATTTTACTTGAATATATATATATATATATATATAAAGATAGATATAATCAAATAGTAAGAGAATCCAGTGATAGATTCACATATAGCGAATATGAGTTTATGAAAAAGTTGTTACAGCAATAGAGTGGGAAAATAATAGAATTTGAATAAATGGTAGTAGATCAATTAATGGTACTTTTCATTATAAAATAATAATGCTTATTAGGTAAAAAGGCTAAGTATAGATTAATTTTATAAACATTTCAAAATACTAGATCTTGAAAGTCTCAGAAATAAAGACTAGAGAGATAGCTCAACAGGCTTAGCACATATTTTGCATCCTAGAGAACTGAGTTTGATCCCAGCACCACATGGTCCTCTAAGCACTGCTTCGAAACCCCACAGTACAAAGTTAGGGTCTTGCTAGAAAATTTTATTAAGAATCAGAGGTAGAAAAATAAAGTATAAAGACAAAGAAAGCTAAGGAAGGAACACAAAAGTAATGTAAAAAGCAAACAAATACCCTTTGAATATTTGTAAGTATTTCCGATTCAGTATATATTATAGGTAAGGATAAGTAATTTTAGATTTATGGTAATGTGAAGAGGACCATCTTCATCTTGCTTAAATACACTCAATGAATTCATTCATCAATTTCCCACTCTCATTTCAGAATAACTCATGTAAAGAAAGAGTGATATATACTTTGGCATCTCATCACTAGCATTACCATGCTTTTCATCCAAAGTTGATCAGTCCAATAAAATGGTAAGGTACAAAAGAAATAAACAGGGCCAGGGAGTCAATACTGAGTCAGTAGTAAGCCCTGAGCATAGTTGTATGTGGCCTGAATTATTAGCCCCCCCCCCCCCCAACAAAAAAGAAGGAAAATAATTACACACAAGCAAACACATTCCTGCCAAGCAAGCACCCATGCAACAAAATGAAAACTCTTGAAACATTTTCAACACTTATGACAGGGTAGAGGGCCCACGTCTAACCTTTATCCACTGAAGATTTGTGTGCTTGAGCTTATTTTCAATTTGATCTTGGTCTTCTGGGCTTATGGGAGCACTTAGAAGCACTATTCCTCCAGTTTCGTTTAATTGTCTTAGAATTCCCTGGCGAAGGGGCAACTCTTCCTTCAGTAACTGAAACAGACAAATACAACACAGTTTAAAATGAATTACACCACTACTCCAACTACCTTGTCTCCGCTGCTATCGATTAGTCTAGCACAATGAAGGGACCTGACTGAAGTTCCCACTGGTACCTCAAATACCAACAGTTTTCTACAGAGCATGGAGTGGATGGAATAAAATGTCTGCTACCAGGTAGGGAAGCCTATCCTAGAAAGGACCAGAATATATAATCTCTCAGTATTTAAGACAAAAATATTAGGCAGTATGATATAAATCACCTAGAATAATTCTACAATTAAGAATCTAAAACCAGTCTCTTTCCAGCAATACAAATATATTTTTGTGTGGGTGGAGCGCTTTATTTCTCATATATGCTCACTAGAGCACCACTGAGAAACTGAATTTTATGAGATAATCATCACTTAGGACATACCTGATACTGGACACTCCACTAAGATCTTCACATATATTGTTACACTAAATCTCCATAGTATAACAATTCTATGAAACTGATCCTATCATGTTCACCTGCTAAAAAAGTGAACTGTGCCAGGCTAAATAGTCCTAAGGCATACACATAGCAAAAACAAAGCTGTGATAGAAACATGGGCACTTTTACTCAAAAACACCTTATGTTTGACTCTGCATCCCTGTATTTTTCTCATCTATCAGCATCACACTATGTATGTGCTTTTCCCTGACTGTTCACATCATCTAGAGGTGTCTAGTCTAGTCCCACCAGTTATGAGGCTATTGTATTTTAAATTGAAATTCAATAAAATAACAGATCACCTCTTTAGTTATACTAGTTACCCTTCCAAAACTCAAAGCACATGCAATCTGCAGCCATTGTAATGAGTAATGTAGAACACTTCTACCACCACAAGTATTTCTATTGAAAGTGGTGCTATAGATTGTCGAACGAGAAAGGAATAACAATGGCATTTGTTAACAATTTAGTGCCAATAAATGTCTCCAATTATTTATTAGATTGTCATACATGACATTCAATAGTTAGGAAAATATTCATTTCCAATTTCAGATTTAGGTCACTTTTCCTGATAAAACCGTCTTCAAATGAGCTATGGGAGAAATTGTTTTCTTTTTGAAATCTCAGAAACAGTGCAAGAGCTGACATTTAGTAGTTGCTCAATATTTGTTTACTGGATTCAGCAATAGTTTTATACTTTATCCTCTACTCAGGTAGAAATTTCTTGCTTCATAGAAATAAGTGGCTGACACTAAAGTTTAATTTGCATGTGCAAACCAACTAAATCATTGATAAAGGAGCAATTTCATTCCCCTTTCATTGTGTGACCTTGTGAAATGAGAATCATAGCAACCATTTTGAAAGTTTGATATGAAGATTAAATAAATAGCAGATGTAAATACATCTAATACTTAGCACATAATAAGGGATAATTAAATGTTAATTTCTTTTTCCCTTTCACCTTCCCTTCAACGACTAAGAGAAAACGGATTCCAAAGAGTTTCTCTCCTAAAATTAAAATTGTGAACATTAATTCCACATGCACAATCAGAGCATGTCAGTCAGACAGGTGAGGTAATTAGTAATATGCAGGCATCACAGGGGCGAGTTAGGCAGTCATTTGAATAACCTGGCGGTCTATTCAACCAGTATAGAATTGGAACCTACACCAAGCCCCTCCTACCCCCAGACAAAACAAACCCAAACAAAACATTGCTTCAGGGAAATCAAATGCCTTTAATTAGAGGCTGAAGTACTGTGATTGATTCGGCAATTAAGAGTTTCCCATGGATGGAACTAGGGTTTACGTTTAGAAAAAAATTCCCTACTTAAAAAATAACTTGGAGCTATGTACATGGTAAACCATTATTACCAATAGTGTAAATCAGAGAACTGCAATCAATTAAAATAAGTTAGTAAAACGGAAAAGAAAAAACAGTCACCAAAAAAGACAATAATTTGGGGCTGTGGTATGTGTTACTGTAAAGTTAATTTCAAGCAAGCTCTAAAAACATTGCCATGAATTCCATACAAAGACCCACGCTCTGAAATAATCCATCTTTAGTTGAAAACAAGGGGTTAAGACAAAGTTAGAACAGGAAAACCTGTGAGGATTAGCCATAATATGAAGAGTAGGAATCAATGTTTAAATAATTTTGAGAAAGAATATAATTTTGAGAAAGAATTCACACACTCTTCAAGCAGGAATTTTAAAGAATAAAATTACCTTGACTTGTTCAAGTTTTTCTTTCAGCTGCTTCTCATTTCCAGGTGCAACTGGAGTACTAGTAATATTATCTGCTTCTTCCAACCAAAAAACAAATTCATTTAAATCTCTTTGCAATTCTAACACGATACTCCTTTGTTCTTCTAGCCTGGAGAAAGAAGAAAAAAGATTGCTCTAAACAACATATTTTTCCAACTTTCTTTTCTCCAAAAAGAAAAAGCTAAGGAATAAAAACACAATACAGCGGCTCAAGAAAATAATTTAAAGGATGTCAAAAATACATAACTGTAAAACAAGAATTCATTCACTTCCAACAAAATGATTTCAGGCTCTCAAATATCTCTAAAGAGTAGCAATTCAAATGATTTCAGAGAAATTTTATTTTCAATTTTATACTTCTGACATTGTTATAAAATGAGTACAAAGGTTTTTCAAAATAAGCATTACTGACTGCGTTGGCTAGATAACAGCCTGGTGAATTGCAGGTGGTAGATCAGTATGACTGGTCATTACCCATTAGTTGCCAGAATTGGTCCCTTCAGTTGGGACAGTGATAGTACAGGGGTTAAATTAGATGCTTCGCATTCAACTGAGTTCAACTGTACCACTAGATATATGGTCCTCCAAGCACCCTCAGGAGAGAGAGTATGGAGTTCTTAAAGGGGTGGGAATAGGCTACTGGACTATTGGCCTAATGTGTTTGAGATGGCCAGGATATTCTCCACAGAATTAGGTGATGGAGATGAAGATGTGAGTTCAGAGTACCTAGAAAGGGGAAAATAATGAGCTGCTGCTGGCCCCTAAACAGGCCACACCCACTTCTGCAGAGAGTATGCCACCTACCGCAATGTGGGTGGGGTTCCAGGTGTTGGGGGCACGAACCTGGGAGACACAGAGGCGGGGTGGGGTGGAGGAGACGGGTTGGGGGGGTGGTAGGAGGAATGTTGGGACCACTGGTGGTGAAAAATGGGCACTGGTGGAGGATGGGTACTTGATCATTCTATGACTGAAATGCAAGCTCGAAAGTTTGTAAGTCTGTGACTGTGCCCTATGGTGATTCACTAATAAAAAATTTAAAAATAGTAATAAAAATAAATTTTAAAAAATGTTAAAAAAAAAGGTGGTAGAGAAACTGGGAACTTTGGTGCAGGGAATCATACACTAGTAGTGGGATGGGTATTGAAACATTGTAAGACTGAAACCCAATCATGAATAGCTCTTTAATGCCCTATCTCACAGTGATACAACAAAAAAAGAGATCTAGTTATCTGACTTACTAGTATTTACCCGCCAAGTACCCAAACACTATTTTGAAGTAATGAATGTACCAATGCATTCACTGATGCATTATACACTGTTGTCAAGATATGGAAACAATCTAAACACCCACTGACAGACAAATGGGTTAGGAGATATGGCATATATAATGGTGGAGTACTGCTCAGCCATACAAAAAGAATAGAGTCTTGCCATTTGAGACAACAGGGGTGGACCTTGAGGGGGTGACGTGGTTAAGGAATCTAACAATGAGAAAGCCATATAATCCCACTCTGGCAGAAATAGACAAACATAAAACAAACTCTTACAGAGAACAGATTGGTGGCCACCAGAGCAGAAGGTGAATGGGTTGAAGGCAAAACAGGTAAGGAGTCAATTATATGGCAATGAACAGAAAGGACAGAAAGGAGACTTTTGGGGGTAATCACATAACAGTGTATACATATGTCAAATGACACAGTTGTATAAGTGAAGGATAGTGTCAAAAACCAATCTACCACCATAGAAAAGACACTTGGAGCTCTGGGAAGAAAGGAGAACTAAAAATAAGAACAACTAAAATGACTTCATAATAATAAGAAATGAACTAATAAATATGGCAAAAAAGCTTTGAAATAGCAATGTATACTATGACATCTTTTGATACTATCATTTCTTTTTTTTTTTTTTTTGCTTTTTGGGTCACACCTGACTATGCACTCAGGAATTACTCCTGGTGGTGCTCAGGGGACCATATGGGATGCTGGTAATTGAACCCGGGTCAGCCGCATGCAAGGCAGTTGCCCTACCCGCTGTACTATTATTCTAGCCCTGATACTATCATTTCTTCATTTTCAGTTTAATAGTTGACAATTCTCCCTCCTCATTATTTCAACTGAAACATAAAAGAAGCGACATTTGACTCTAAATTCATTCTTCCTTTGCTTATGTACAGGTAACTGTGATTATGGTTTTCTCTACCTTTCAGCACAGAAAGTCCCAAATGATGTCCATGATGCATGCCTGGATCCTCTAAAATCTACCCAGAACTCTAAAGTGATTTGCTGATTAACAGACACTCAGCTATCAAAAGTGAGGGAGGTGTTCTTTCCCAAACTCTTGTTTTTATTGACTATCTTATGGTCTCTACCTTTGATTTTAGAGAGATTAAAGGGGTGAAGGAGGAATCCACGCCATAAATATTGCACTCCCTGAAAAGCTAACCAACGATCCCCTCTGAGACCTCTTAAGTGGACTGGGTCATAGCATGTCAAGCAGGTGGGGAATGAGGAATGGTAAACACAAATCACAACACAATTTCTTTTCAGTAAACCCTAGAGGGAAATGGCTGTGCTAAAATGCTGAAAGTTTTGTTCTAGAATATGGAAATACACAGTTTCCCCTCAGACTCTGGCCCTAGAATCCTGGAAGAGGAGAAATTCCCAGTTTAGACATCTTTATTTTCCTTTTAAAGTGCTAGCTTATTCAAGTCCTCAGGTTTCATTTTCAAGGGTAATTTTCAGTTTACAACACTATTCTATTCTCTTTTCAAATCCTTTGCCTCTATCAGCATTGTACTCTAGATCATGTTGTATAGTCTCTCAAATAAATAGTAAGAGTAGCCCCATTTCTATCCATCTCCCTTCTTTGTGTTGAGCAAAACCTCTGTAAAATCTGATAGTGATGGTAAGAATATAGACAGAAAGGGAACGTTGTTCAAAACATCTCAACTATCATACATAAAATTTCCTAACACTCAACACCAACTATCTGGAGGGCAGAGCAGAATTTTAAACCCAAAACTACAGAACAAATATTTACCTTCATAGAAGAAAATTCTAAAAGAGAATATGCCACCTAACTATAAATACATTTTACATAAATTACTTGCATGATTTCTCCTTTAAAGGATACCCAGTCTGCTCAGACCGAGCTCACCCATGAGTAAATTCATAGAAAACCCAGGCATGTGGGACTTGTCACTGAAAACTCTAGGTTCAACACAACCTAGAGTGATTGAACTCCCCCCCCTCATCGCCCCCTATTTGGTAGCTTGACAGTCACCCCCACAAGCTGCTGCTGGTGTCATGTAATCTCAATCAATAGCCATAACCTGGAGACTCAACACTACATCTCTGGGAAGAGAGCACAGAACAACATGCCATAGCAATGCCGCCAGACCCCATGCCTGGGTGTTTCATCCAGGGTACCTAGGAGGGGGGTGGGTGAGGCCCCTCCTCATCCCAGGGGACCCAGCCCCAGCAGTCAAAAACCTCTAGAACTCAACTGCCACCATGCTCATGGCCACTTTCCATAGGCTCAGGCTAAGCCTCACCCACAAGTCAACATATTCCTGGACCGCAAATGCAGCCATGTGACATTTCATACCTTACACCACTCATATTCCAAGAGTAGTGCGCCACATTTGATTTGCTTTAAAGTAGAAGGAAACCAATCTTAGGGAGAAATATATTTTTACAGATATATAAATACATATATTTACATATATTTATTTGTAAATATATATATACATATATATATATGTATCTTGTCAGAGCCTGGCAAGCTAACCATGGCATACTCAATATGTCAAAAACAGTAACAATGAATGGTCCTCATTACCCTGATCCTGAAGGAGCCCCCGATATGTCATCGGTCTACACTAGCACGTGACAGGGACAAATGGAGACATTACTGGGCCTGCTTGAGTGTATCGATGAACAGCGGGGTATTAGTGATTAGTGATAAATACATATATATGCATAATTCTAAAAGAATATATATACAATATTTACAATATAGATAGATAGATAGATAGATAGATAGATAGATAGATAGATAGATAAGCACAAGGCTCAAACCCTTAAGAACAAGTTAGTAATCACTTACAGAGAGTTTAATGGCTCCTGGGTGAAATCCAACAATCTTCACACACTTTCCCATAAGAAACCTTTTTTGGAACATGTTTAGCAGATTATTCATAATAAACAACACAAAATAAATTATTTCAGTTCTGCTTTGGGGGCAGGGGATGGGGTTCAGGAAAGAAACATCTGAAATATAGTGGTGGGACGGTGTAATGGTGGTGGGATTTGAGTTCCAATATTAAATGTAATCAAATATTCTGAGCAACTTTATAAAGATAAAATAAAATAAATTAAAAAATAAAGAATACTCAGTCTATTTATTCAAATAGTATGATAATACAATTTTGAAAGGAATATATGCATCACTCTCTGTATTCATATCAGTATTATTTACCATACCCAAACATGGAATTAACCTAAATGTCGATCAATAGAGAACAATAACTGTGACATATATACTCAGTAAAATTGTCTTTGGGGTGTAAGTTATGGATCTTCAGGTGATTACACAAAGTGATACAAGTAATTAACTGAAAGACTATGGTTGAACACTTTGACTTGCATGTGGAATAAGACTAAAGGAAACAAATTGAAAAGTATTGCAGTGGTAAAAATTATGGTGATAACTAGAGGGAAAGTGAGAAGAATTAGCAGGGTTTTCGTTCTAGTGATGGGGTGACTGTAAATGGAGTACTGTGTGTGGTGAGTCATAAAACACCCAGAAGTGTAACCCTAAGCCTCTGGATGATGTAAATCATGTCATTTCAATAAAAAATAAAAATAAAGAAAATTTAAAAAATAATACTTTATATTGACATAAAATTTAATAGTTATTTTAATAAACTCAGTATTTAGAAATTAAAATTTACATATATTTAAGGAACAGATACAGAATGATCTTTCTCAAGAGTGGGGTATAAAAAATTATAGTATGAGAATAACAAATGGTCAAAGAAAATAGATCTTGAGAGCTATAAATAGAACTGGCAGAGGAGAAGGCGGGGTTAGTTGGGAGAGGACTTGA